TGCCGTACATTTATAACTGTGTTCCTCCCTGTGATTTCCCTGCTCTTCCCCTCAAATGAAGGCCAAATATGGTGATCCATGTGTGTGATGAAGCAAAAAATCTGAAGGAAGATTTTGTCTGTCCGCGAGATCTCTTGATTTCTGAAATGAAGTACTTTGCCGAATACCTGTCGGTGGATGCCCAGCGCTGGGAAGAGGTGGACATTTCGGTTCACTGTGACGTTCACATCTTTAACTGGTTGATTCGATACGTTAAGAGGAACACTAAGGAGTATGAACTACATGAAGTACCTACCTTAGGTAAAAGAATATCGCTATGTTTTTGCCGCAGATTCGTTTTCTAAGCAGCCTGGCTTCTAATTCAAACCAACGGTCTGCCTGCAGAAAATAGTTCTGGAAGGTGGCTTCCATGGCCTTTCTGCTTTAAAGGATGAAAGTCTGGTCTAAGAAACCAAAGCTGGCTAAACGATGTAATAATGTGCATCCACTAACCATTGTTGTGGCTAAGTTACAACCCTGACTCTTATAACCAGTTGGGAAGAAATCTGTGGTTTTCTGCTGTACCTCCTACTCACTTACAGATCCCCATCTTCAGATACAGTGGTGCCCCGCATAGCGACGTTAATCCATTCCAGGATTAGCATCTCTATCCGGAAACATCGCTAAACGGAACTGAAAACCCCATAGGAACACATTAAACTCCGTTTAATGCGTTCCTATGGGGCGAAAGCTCACCGGTATGCGAAGATTCCCCATCCGGCCGCCATTTTCGCCACCTCGGTAAGCGAGGGTTGGGCATGAAAGCGGAGCGGGCGGCCATTTTGGAACCGCCGATCAGCTGTTTTTAGAACATCACAATGCGAAGATCGGTAAGCGCAACGCTTCCCGATCATCGCAATGCAATTTTTGGCCTATCTAAACATTGCAATGCGATCACATTAGCGATCGCAAAAACCGCGTTGCTATGCGGATTCGTTTAAACGGTGCGCTCGTTAAGTGAGGCACCACTGTAATGACCTTTTCATGGTTCGTAGTGAGTTATCATTTGCAACTATAGTTGGATTTACGGTTAACCATGGTTAGCTCAGAAAAGGGGAATCACACTTGAAAGGAGAGAAGGAATAAAGAAAAACCCATGTGAACCCACAATGGGCTACTTAAAGATTGTGCTGGTCTGTTTTGAAAAGAGATGGAAGTTTCAAAAATCTGCTTTGAGTTGTAAACTCTAGAGCGGTCAGAAGTAGAGGTGAGCATTTTGAACTTATGATGTAGGAAAGAAGTTTAGAAATGGGTTTGCTTGGAGGAAACAATATGGCATATTAGATTGCTGTTTGAACAATGTTGGAAAGGCAGTGGGTCTCAAGTTGAGGATTGAGAAGATGAGTTTGGAAGCCCCTCACTTAACTGAGCAGCTAAATGGCTTCATGTTTTACAGGGAAACAGATGATTTTTGGAACGAAATTTGAGGTTTAGCCTTTGTTTAACAAAAACAACAGAGGCCTGCGGTGTCTTAAAAGAGACATATGTTTTATTTGACATAATAATGTGTACACTACACCTATTTGACACTTGATGAAGTGGGCTTGAGCTCATAAAAGCTTCTGCCAGATGAAACTTAACTCATATTCAGGACCCAACCGAGACTCTTTGCTATTTTTGGAATAATCAGTTTTTGGTGCCATCTAAGAAAAATCAGTGGAGGAGTTAAATGCATGCTTAACTTTATCCCCTACATAAATCAATGGGATTACCAAGGGTTTGACTCTGATTTTGCTCTACTCTGGTGACTTACTACCCTGTTTCCCTGAAAATAAGACCTAACCTGAAAATAAGCCCTAGTATGATTTTTCAAATGCTCGTAGTATAAGGCCTACCCCAAAAATAAGCCCCAGTTAAGTGAAAACCTGCCCTCCACCCTTGTGCAGCAACCAGAAGAAGATGATACAACTGTGTTTGAATAAATGTAGATTGTTATACATGAAAAAAATTAAAATGTCCCCTGAAAATAAGCCCTAACACGTTTTTTGGAGCAAAAGTTAATTTAAGACCCTGTCTTATTTTCGGGGAAACATGATATATTTATAGTAGAGAACAGACCATACTGAGTGTCCAAACTTACTCCCATTCCTTGTTTATAGAATGTGGATGGAATGATGCAAAGGATTCGTCGTATTTCCTTTTACAAATCCAACGAGCTAATTAACGTTAACTTTGTAACCCTTTTCCCTTTGTTTTCTTGTTTCTTTGTTTAGAACCAAGCAATGTCATTTCAATTCTGATTTCCTCGGAGTTCCTGAAGATGGACTCTTTAGTGAGTATCTAAAAGAATGGGTGGCCTTCGAGGTTTCTGAGCCACTGATGACCCATATTCTGTTCAGAGAACATTTGCTTGGTTTTTATTTTATCTTTGTGGCGTTTGTTGCAACAATCATCCAGAAACAGCGGTCCGTACATAAATGGAACCCTAAGAAGATTGAGAGAAGAGCCCTAACACAAGTGTTTAAGCCATTTTTGACGTCCTTCTAGATTGGGAGATGCAATAGAGAATAAAATAAATAATTTACTTAATTTTTTAATCCCACCTTTGTTGTATAGCAATATATACTTTAAGATCCCCATTTCTGGGCCACCTGCACGGGCTTACCTGTTGCGTCCTGGGTCAGAGTTGAGGTTTTGATGATCACCTACAAAGCCCTTAATGGTTTGGGACCATGTTACTTGTCAGAGGGCCTTTTCCCAAAATTACCTGCCCACTCTGTCAGATCCTCCCAGGCAACGCTCCTCCGGGTGGCTACTCCAAAGTAAGCCGGGAAATTATTCCACCAGAAGTAGGGCCTTCTTTCTGGTGGCCCCTGCGCTCCGAAATCAGCTCCCAGTGGAACTGCACCTGGCGCTCACCCTTTAAAAGGCTCCTGTAAATGTTGCTTTTCAGAGATGCCTTTCATTGCAATCCTGCCTGATTATTTTTAAATGTTATGTCTCCTGTTCTGCTTTCTATTTGCAAATTACGCCTCTTGTAATTTTTGTGTTACTGTCTGTGTGTTTTGTTTTAATTTTATTGTTTGTTGTGTTTTTATCGCATTGTAAACCATCCAGATTAATGAGGTGGTATGCAAATTAAACAAACAAATATGGATGGATGTTCAGAGCCCCTACATTGCCTCAGAAAAAAGTTTTTAACTTTAAACTTGTCAATGGCACCCCCCCCCAAATCTTCTCAAGGTAGAATATTTTGTTTTAATGCCATTCCACTCTTCTTTTGTGGTCCAAAGGAGCTTTTGAAAAATGAACATAACATTCTGTTCACACCTGGTCTGAAGAAGTGGCCCACAGAAGTCTGGGAATGGAGATATAAAGCTAGGGAGGCGTGAGTCCTATACTGTCCCCAAAGCTGAAGCTTTTCTCAGAAAACACCATTCTTAAATTAGTGTAAGAAATGTTGGTACAACTGCTAAGCCCGTTGCATCTGTATCTGTTTTTCTAGGTGGAAAAATGTATTAATTATTGCCATAAGAATATGAGTGCCATTGTAGCCACGCCTTGCAACATGAATTGCATCAACGCTAACCTTCTGACGCGTATAGCAGATCTTTTCACCCATAACGAATTAGAAGAGGTGAAGGACAAAAGAGATAAATTTAAGAGGTACATTTTAAAAAATATGCACTATCCTTTAACATCACAGTCGTAAGCGGTCTGTTTGCCTTTCTTGATTATCCAGATCAGAAGAGACAGGTAATGGAAATGTGGATCCTTAAAGGCATTGAATGTAAGTTATTTAATTGGGTATTAAAACAGAGCTTCTAGAAGGTCATCTACTGTGCTTTTGTAGCTGCAGGGCAACAAACTGGATAACATAAGCATTTTATTAATTCGTGTACCGTAGGACCCCCATAGCCGCCTAGAGTGGTCCTGACCCGACCAGATAGGCGGGATATAAATGAAATACCGTATTTTTCACTCCATAAGATGCACCTTTCCATAAGACGCACCAATTTTTTAGGAGAAGAAAACAGGAAAATATAATCTGTTTTCTTCGCTCCATAAGACGCACAGACTTTCCACACCCTGTTTAGTGGGAATAAAGTGCGTCTTATGGTGCGAAAAATACAGTAAATAAATAAATAAATCCATGGGAGAACAGTTGCAAGCCTTACCAGTCAGAGCATGCTCCTCTTCCTCCTCTCCAGCTTCTCACCCAGTCCTGGCAGGAGCCCGGGTTTGCCTGTCCGGCCTCCTAGAATGCTCAGACAAGGAGGCGGGCAGGGAAACCCATGCTTCTGCCCAAGACTGGTCAAACAGCTGAGGAGGAGAGGAGCGTGCACCAGCTGATGAGTGGGGGCTCGTACCGGGGAGGCGGGGAAAGGGAACGCGTAGCACCTGTGGTGTTGCACATACGAACCTTCGAACCGAGGCTCATGCCCATCTCTACTATATACATGACGAACAGTCCTGGAATATCTCACTATGAGCATACGAGTGTTACAAACATGCCTTTCTCCCCCCCACACACACACATTCATAGCGTTGGGTTGAAGAATCCAAGGCTCATCTGGGAGCAATCCAGGCAGCAGTGGGCAAAATCGATTTCTCCAGATGTTGTTGGCAACCCTCATCAGTTCTAAACAAAATGACCAGTAGTGAGGAATGCTGGGATTTGCAGTCCAATAACATCTGGAGGGCTACAGTTTTTCCATGGCTGGATAACGGATTGAGCAGATGAAGGAGGACATCTGTAGGTCTCCTGGGGCTAAGCAAGGAGGACCCTTGAAATTTGGGTCGGAGACCCTGCTTGCAGCTTCGTCCCTCAGTTGCTCGTGTGCAATTCTATACAACAGGATGGAGATACTGCAGGGAATTTTTTTTTCTGGAAAAAGTTTTAGGAATGTACTCTTCATGTTTGTATTCTTATGGCTTATTTAAAAATAATAATAACTGATAGTTCGTTTTTGCCTTAAGTCTTTGTTTACCACTGGCAGCAAACTTTTCTGTAAGAAGATAGAACGCTTATTTGATCCTGACTACCAGAACCCAGATTCAAGGGGAAATGCAGCAACCCTGTATAGGTATAGAACTATCTTTTCTTCTGTTTTTCAAGTTTATTTAACAACCCAAATAAACAACAAAAATCACACTACTAGACAATGCATAACATAACTCAACCAAAATGTAACAATCAACAAATAAACAATAACAGTTTGGCATAATATTCATAGTAATTCCGATTTTTTAAAAAAATTAAAACATAGTGTACCCTTTCAGTGGCACAAGTATGCCTACTTTCAGTTTTCCGATTATTATTCCATAGTCCCTTATTCCTTCCAGAATTGCAATGTTTCTTATGAAAGTAATGGTCCTTTCCTTTTTATTACTGTGAATTCTATAAAATCTCCCCCTACGTTCTTAATAGTATTCTTATTTAAACATCCTCTTTAAATTTAATATCACATGTTATCATTAATAGCTATATTCCTGATCTCATTATATCATTCAGATATCTGAGAATTGTGCTTTACTTTTCCATCTTTTTTGCTGTCCTTAATCATTCATTTCTCTTACACTTCCTTTTTTTCCTGCTAAATCTGTCATGTCAGTCTCATGATATACAGCTTTCTTTTTGCAAAGGTGCTGTTTATGTAAGAAACTTCTCATTAAGGATACAGAAAGGAGAATTCCCTGTGTTCCTGGGAAGATTAATGTTGATCAACATGGAAATATCATCTATATCCACATAAGGTGCTTCCTAAATCATGTTGTAACAACATTTTTACAGGGTGTGTTTGCCGATTTCCTTTCCACATGTTCCCAAAGCAGGCTTTTAAATTAGGAATTGATCTGTCTGTCTGTCTAAGGCCCAATCCAGCTAAGGCAATACAGGCGTTTGATGTAATCAATTGCGAAGTGTCAGGAAGCATTTAATTAACAAAATGTGTTTTACGGATCAATAGGTCTCCACTACAGAAAGTTACAGTCGTGAAAGGGGCATATATTTAATTATCTGTTTGGATAGATAGCCTGATTCTGTTAATGTGGGGTTAGTGCAGAGCATTTTAAAAACCTGTGTCACATTTCCCAATGAAATGTAATATTCCTCACTACATTCTATTGCTTTTAACTCCCCAAAGCCAGCCTCCTGGCTAGGAAGGAAATGAGGTTCTACAGAAATGAAGCAGATATTGCTTTTTCGAGCTATCATTTGCTAATCAGATATGCAAAATCCAGAGTTCTCAGGAGCGTAGTATTCTTATTTCATATAATTCACTGTAATCTTCAGAAATTTTAATGGGAGCTGTCAGACTAGGGCTTGATAGACCTGGGTTCAAATCTTCATCTGGCCATGGAATCTCATGGAGAATGGCAGGGGTAAACCATGGCTTGGATATCTCACATATCTGGAAAAACTCTATGGGGGGTTGCCACAAGTTGGAATTGATGATGTTACAAAATGACAGGTTTTTAATGGCGCAACAGTTGAATTTGGTAAAGGTTTGCAGACGTTGTTTAATTCTTTTATACAATGGCAGTGAAGGGAATATTTGAGATAATGCATTTTCTTCCACCTTGCCCAAAAAATAACAAAGGAGGGTTATAATAGAATAGTAAAGTTGGAAGGGGCCTATAAGGCCATCAAGTCCACCCCCCTGCTCGATGCAGGAATCCAATTCAAAGGATGTCTGCCAGGTGGTTGCCTTAAGTTTCTCTTGAATGCCTTGATTGTTGGAACAGTTGCCACTCTCAAAGAAATTGGTTCCCTCGAGAGGAAGTTTTTCTTGACCTTCAATCGAAGATGTCTGCCAGGGGGCTGCCTTAAGTTTCTCTTGAATGCTTCGATTGTTGGAACAGTTGCCACCTCTCAAAGAAATTGGTTCCCCCAAGAGGAAGTTTTTCTTGACCTTCAATCGAAATGTGGCTCCCTGTAACTTGAGCCCATTATGACGTGTCCTGCACTCTAGAATGGTTGAGAACAAATCCTGCACCTTATCTGTATGACTGCCTTTCAAGTATTTGAAAAGTGTTATCAGCTCATACATTCCTTCTCAAGCTTCCTGACAATGTCTTCCTCTTTTGTTACCAGCTCATAGATTCCTTCTCAAGCTTCCTGACAATGTCTTCCTCTTTTGTGCACAGAGATAAATCTTGGGATGTTCATGAGTACTTGCTCAGTCTTTTTGAAGAGCTAAAATCTTGGCGAGATGTATACTGGCGTCTTTGGGGAACTGTCAATTGGTTGACATGTTCAAGATGTAATCAAGTGAGTATTTTGGAGTCCCACCCATCTACCCTTGGCTAGACCTTACAAGGTAACCGTTTTTCAAATTTTGCAATTTGTGGACATTTAGGGAAGGGATTTAGAACAGATGTATGATCTGCAGCAGCTTAAAAACATTCCAAGGTACTCCAGAATGGGTCTCAGTTTCATCAGTATTGGGTCCCTTGTGGGGAGAAAGGCAGAGAATGAATGAATGAATGAATGAATGAATGAATGAATGAATGAATGATGTTGCAGTCCTTTCAAAATATAAGAACTGCATCAGTTTGTACATCACAGTGTCTTGTCACTGGCTGTAATATATCTCTGTCTCCTGGGCCAGAGTGTGATATGTGTATGTATGTGTGTGTGTGTTTTATAGCCGTTCAGAGTGGTTGATTCGATCAGATGAGCGGGGTCACTGGCTGTAATATATCTTTGTCTCCTGGGCCAGAGCGTGATATGTGTATGTATGTATGTGTGTGTGTTTTATAGGAATTTGCTAAGTTACTCCTTCCTTTGTTTTTGTGTGCCATCAAGTTACTTCCAGCTAATGACAACTCTATGAATTAATAACCTCCAGAAGACCCTGTTATTAACAGCACTGCATAGGTGTTGCAGATTAAACCTTGTGGGTTTCTAGTCAGTCCATCTGATGTCTGGTTTATGTCTTTTCCTGCTGCCTTCTACTTTTCCTTGCATTATTGTCTTTTCTAGTGAGCGTCTTTCCTTAGAAGCAATCTGGTGACTATTTCTGTTAACAATATTTCATCTACACAAGCAAACCAGTATTGATGCTTGTATTGTCATAACCAGCAGGTCCCCAAAAAAAATACAAAGAAATGTTTACTGATTACCTGAAGTGGGCAGTTCTGATATTGCACCTTGAAAATGCAAAACAGTACTCCCCTTGCTACCTAGGATTATAAGAGGATGGCATAAAACTTTTAAAAAGTTCTTGCCAAAATGCACATAAAAATGTAACTGCTGAAAGTAGTTAAAGAATGCTACTCATTATACCAGCAAATAATTTTTTGTGTTTTTGAAATGTAACCTATTACACCCTTGTTATCTTAAAACACAATTTATGTTATTTGTAGGTAATTCCAAGCTCTGCTCTTCGCATATCATAAACTTGTTCATCTGTCTGTCCCTTTCTCCCTTTCTCTCTCTCTTTCTCACTTTTAAATGGGAAAAGTAAACCTGCCAAGGTGTGATAGTGATGGTGATTGTTGTTGTTGCCTCTCCCTTGCAGACCTTTCCATGCACTGAATTCTCACATTGCCAATACCATCCTCAGCCGGTGCTCTACCCAGGTGTGGCAAGTGCTCTTGGTTCAACGGGCACCGGAGTTTATCCCTGTTGTAACCAAAGGGTTCTTCGATTTGATCCTGCTCCTCTTCCAAAAGTATGTACTCAGGAAGCAGACTATAAATCTTGCTGGGCTTTTTCCATTCAGTGCAGCAAAATTCTATACAGTGGTGCCCCGCATAGAGACATTAATTCCAGGATTAGCGTCGCTATCCGGATTCGTCGCTATGCGGGGAGAGACCCATAGGAACGCATTAAACTCTGTTTAATGCGTTCCTATTGGGGAAAAATTCACCGGTAAGCGAAGATTCCCCATCCGGCTGCCATTTTCGCTGCCCGGTAAGCGAGGGCAGGGCGCGAAAATGCTGTGGGCGGCCATTTTCTGCACCCAGTGGCCATTTTGGAACCACCGATCAGCTGTTTTCTAAACATCGCAATGCGAAGATCGGTAAGCGAAACGCGTACCGATCATCGCAATGTGATGTTTAGGCGCAGCCATTTCGGGGCTTCCGGCACCCTTTTTTATCGCCCTCCCCTTGCTTACCAAGGGCGCGAAAACGCTGCGCCCCGGCCCCTTTCGGCTGTTCCAGCGGCCATTTTGAAGCCGCGGAACAGCTGATTGTTGGGTCGCAAAGCGAAGGTCGGTGAGCGAGCAGCTTACCGACCTTCGCTCTGCGATTTCCCGCCTATACGGGCACCGTTTTGCGATCGCATTTGCGATCGCAAAAACGGCCTCGTAGAGCGAATTCATCGCTCTACGAGGCTCCCGTTCTGCGAGGCACCACTGTAATTGAATTGGAAGTGTGTGTTTGTGTTTCCCACCCTTTGGTGTATGGACGCCCACTGGATAGCACAGAAACTAAATCTATGCAAGTTATACTGTAGCCTTGTGCAGATGGACAGAACTGGATCATAGGATCACAGATCAAATCGTTGAATAATTTAATTGGAATAATTGAAATGGAAGGGTTGAGCCATCGAGCTCAACCCTTTGATCCAGATCAAAGCAGATCTGAGAGATGGTTGTCCAATGTTCTCTTGAAGGCCTCCAGCTTCGGAATGTTCACCATTTCCCAAGGTCATGAGTTCCATTGTCGTACTGCTCTAACAGTGAAGAAGTTTAGTACATATCTAATACGGATACCTTTCTCAGTGACTGGTCCTCAGCTTGGGAACTCTCATTCTAGGGAAGTTAGGCTGTGATTCCCTTCCCTGTTTTCATTCTGCACTCAGGCCATGACTTGCTACAGACAGAAACTTTTAATTGCAGGGATGCTGTATTTTCCTCTTTCTAGCTTAAACTCTGTGTTCAATTTTTCTTATCTGCTTGAATACATTTGGGCCAGAATCCTTTGCTCTGAGCAGGCGAGCCTCTCCGTGTAATGACATGGGACCCTCTGTTGGCAACACAGAAGGTGGTTATCTTTTATGCAGGTCTCCCCTTGCAGAGGAGCAGCGCTTCTGCAGGTGGTGTCATGCTCTTCTCTTTCACTTGGTGGAACTTCCTGCCTGGCAAGAGAGTCAGTGGGATACTGGCCTTTGTATCTTTGTGCTGTTTTGCCTTAAGCCCCATTTGTGTAAGAAAGGCAGACGTGAAGCTGAAAAAAAGGATGAAATTCCAAGTTTAGTCGTGAGTCCAAATAATGAAATTAGGATTGAGTATCTGAAATCATGATTTGCAAAGAACAGACATTTTATGGACGTGAAGCTGAAAAAAAGGATGAAATTCCAAGTTTAGTCGTGAGTCCAAATAATGAAATTAGGATTGAGTATGCATTAGAATCTGAATTCATGATTTGCAAAGAACAGACATTTTATGTCCACCTTCAACAAGAGCACAGTCCAAACTGACACCGTTCTTCCTTTCTCTTCTTCTTTTGTAATGGAAGGGATGTAAAGTAAGGGACCATGTCATTGGCTTGCCCGCTGGAGGAGAAGGAGGGGATGCCATGCCCTATCACACTGCTAAAATCCTGAGTGACTTTACTCAGCACAGAAATGTCCTTATCGTGCCTTTTTCCAAAGACCAAAACAGGTAAGGAGGTAGATCCACTTTTGTGTTTTCCCTGGGTAAGTGAAGGACAGGAGCCAGTGGCCAGGATCCTGTTTACAAAAAATGTGGAGTTAAAAGGGCAGTTGTGGAGGCAGTTCCTCTGACCCTAGTGGCTTGTCTTTTCTGTGTGCGGTTGTGCACTAGTTGTGGAATCGGGTGCACAACCTGTCACAGGAAGAATGTTCCGCCACGGAGGACCGTTTGAGCCGTTGATTGTGTGCATGTGGTAAACTTCAACAGAATTCCTGGTTCTTCCATATGGCATGGAATTTATTGACTTTTATCTCCAGTAGGGATAAGAATGGTGGAACATTTAAATTGTGGGTTTATCTCAGGATGCTCGGAAGGGTATCCAGTGAAGAGGTACTGAAAGCAAATGAATAAAGACAGAGAGATAACAAAACACGTGAAATGGGGAATAGTTCTGTCATTTAATTTATTGATTTATTTGTGTATTTATTACATTTCTATCCAGCCCATCTAGTGACCAGGACTACTCTGGGTGGCTAACAGTGATTTAAAAAATACAACTACCCAGCCCCCAAAGACGTAATGAGATCCAAATTGCAACAGTAATGACCCCAAATATAAAACAAACCTAGAGGCAACATTGAATAAAAACCAATATTCCAATTCATGCATCCATGAGGATGTCAATCTTTCTGAAGGCCTGTTCAAACACTACTGTTTTTACCTGTTTCCTCAAGGCCAGAAGGAATGGAGTCTGGTCTGTATGTTAATGAGAAACCAGAAATCCAGATGCTAACAGCTTACCATTTAAAAGAAAATAAATGAGAAATGAAGGGCATGAAAGAGAGGTTCTTAACTGGAAGAGGAGCAAGCTTGGGGGTCTTTCCTGGATGTAACACATTGCTGTTGCATCCGTACAGGAAGGATGATTTCCAGCCTGTTTGAATGGGCTTCTCTGGAATTCATAACATTATATCCCATGATTTATTCAAATGTTTCTCTCTTCCACCCCCCCCAAAGTGATTATGGAATTGGGTTGAACGACGAGAAGGGTATTGAATGCGATGTGCTGTTGGAACCGAATTCATCGTGGGGCCCCAAAGCAGGAGAAATCAATGCTGTGAGTAATTATTTTCCGGTCGTCACATTGGTGTTTTATTTCATTTCCTTAGAGGCGTTGGCTTCAACCTAAGAACTGGGATATTGTAGGGAACCGGTGTTCTACCTCCTGCTTTCTTTAAGAAATGAGCGGGGCGCCTTTTACTCTCCGGGTGTGTCTTCCTCTCCAGCCAGCCTGCCCATTTCTCAGGGATGGTGGAGCTGCAGCCTGCTAGCATCCTAGAGTTTAATAATAAAAATAATTTTAAAAAGTTGCCCCTCCTTGCTTTCAAAGAGAAGCACTGAAATGCATTTGGGCGGGAAACATTTACAAGCTCCCATATGGTGGCAGCTTAGTGAAACTGTGGCATATCCCAGTAGGTCTGGGTTTGTCACAATTATATCCCATGATGTATTCAAATGTTTCTCTCTCCTCCCCCCCCCAAGTGATTCTGGAATTGGGTTGAACGATGAGAAGGGTATTGAATGCGATGTGCTGTTGGAACCAAATTCATCGTGGGGCCCCAAAGCAGGAGAAATCAATGCTGTGAGTAATTATTTTCCGATCGTCACATTGGTGTTTGATTTCATTTCTTTAGAGGCGTTGGCTTCAACCTAAGAACTGGGATATAGCAGGGAACCGGTGTTCTACCTCCTGCTTTCTTTAAGAAATGAGCGGGGTGCCTTTTACTCTCCAGGTGTGTCTTCCTCTCCAGCCAGCCTGACCATTTCTCAGGGATGGTGGAGCTGCAGCCTGCTAGCATCCTAGAGCTTAATAATAAAAATAATTTTAAAAAGTTGCCCCTCCTTGCTTTCAAAGAGAAGCACTGAAATGCATTTGGGCGGGAAACATTTACAAGCTCCCATATGCAGCCTCTGTTTTGTGTGTGTGTGTGTGTGTGTGTGTGTGTGTGTGTGTGTGTGTGTGTGTGTGTGTGTGTGTGTGAGAGAGAGAGAGAGAGAGAGAGAGAGAGAGAGAGAGAGAGAGAGTCATGATTTCGGGTTATTTGATTATAGTGGTGTAATCTCCATGAATTCTGGGAATTGCAGCCCACAAACCCAAGTCAGTACCCTTCACCCCTTTAGGGAAGGTCATCATCATCATCCATGGAATTAGTGCTAACAGCTAATGTCGACTCTGCCAAGGAAAAGCTGAAACTGTGTCACACCTCATCTGCGAATGCCCAAAGATTGCACAGATTACGAAGTTAAGACATGACTGAGTGGCAAAGTTAGTGCATTGGTCGTTATGCAAAAAATATAACTTGCCGGACTCCAAAAACCCGTCGGAACATCAGGTAGAGAAGGTGTCGGGAAAATGAGGAAGTCTAGATCTTGTTGGATTTTTGGATCCAAACAGAGAGACACCTTGAACATAACACACTGGACCTAGTAGTAATAGAACAAAGAAAAGGCTGGATCATTAGCATTGCAATTCCAGGGAATGCCAGAGTTGAAAATAAAGAATTGGAAAAACTAACAAAGTACAGAGAGACCTGGCCATCAAAACATCTCGCTTCTGGAAGAAACACACTTCCATGGTCCCCCGTAGTCATTGGGGCTTTGGGAACAATTTCAAGAAATTTCACACAGTACTATAAGCTGTTGGAGATCTCAGAAATCACACCATCAGAGCTACAAAAAATGGCAATATTAGGAACAGCATACATACTGCATGGATATTTAACAGATACTTAGGTTTTTGGTTAAAACTTGTATCTGTTATATAATACCAGTCAGTGTTTTCATACTTTTGATTGTGTCTGGAATTTTTGAATAATAATAATAATTTATTACGGTCAAGGACCAGGAAGATAAAAATACATTATTTACATAAAAATACATTATATAGATAAAATTACATTATATAGATAAAATTACATAATATCAGAGACATTGGGCAAGACATGTCACCATCAGTGCACTGTCTGGTTCTTTTATGACACTAAAGTTAAAAAAGAAGTTCTAAGTTAGCCAGCGGCATTGGAGGATATAAAAGTTTTTTAAAACATCACAGCAGTCACACGATATAAGATGAAATTAATAATAACCATCAATACGCCACCCCAGCTATCCTGGAAAGTTAAGTTAAAGAAGAAATCTCTTAACCAGGGCGAAAACCTTATGTGGTCAGGAGACCGCGGCAAGCTATAGCGACAGTGCAGTATTTACTAGTAATGTAGGAAACTTTATTGG